TTAAGAACTTCATAAATTTTACCAAGGACCACTCTCAACCTTTTAATATTAAAGTCATTCTATTTGGAATTGATGTGTCACCATCTCTATCAGTTTTATATTCTTCAGCCAAAACGCCACTTGAATGCAATTCGAGCCATTCTCTGACATCGTTTCCACTGATTTCATGAGATCTTGAAATTTCACTTGGAATCAGTTTACAGTGTTTCTGTGTTGTGTTGTCAGATGAATCAGAGGGAGATTATTAGGCCACAGTGGTGCTATATACTAGCATTAATTAGGGAGAGATGTTTGAATGGAGACCAGGATCATAACCAGTTGACCATCAGTTTATGTTTTTGCTGTCATGGTTTTGCTTGCTTGGGCATCTTTGAATCTTCAGAAGCTCAGATGTTGATCATTCAAGATAATGAGGATTATCTAGTCATGGCCTCAGATATTGGAGTTGATAAGAGAAAGGATTAATGGACAATGAGTCAAGAGAGTTTTCTTTTTCTTTTTTAAATATTTTTTAAAGTTTATTTATTTTTGAGAGATGGAGAGAAACAGAGCATGAGAGGGGGAGGGGCAGAGAGAGAGGGAGACACAGAATCCAAAGCAGGCTCCAGGCTCTGAGCTGTCAGCACAGAGCCCGATGCGGGGCTTGAACCCACAGACTGTGAGATCATGACCTGAGCCAAAGTCGGATGCTTAACCGACTGAGCCACCCAGGGGCCCCAAGAGAGTTTTCTTTATGGAAAATTATCTTTTCAGGCAAGAGTGTTCTCTTTCCACAGGGAATCTTGGTCATTCCCAAGGGTCCTGCGAGGAAACTACAAGTCACAGTGTCCAGGCCAGTAGAGTAGGCAACTCTGTTGACTTCCTGGCATTGTAAAGATTCTGGCTCCTTGCCACAGCATCTTGCAGAAAGTGATTTCTCAGAACTGAATGTTTCTCCAGGAATGTGCAAGTATTTTAAATCAAAGGCCATTCTGAATGGAGCTCTTTTTATTTTAAAAGTAGCCCATCTACATTTAGTAAAGTTTTCATTTTTATTGTTCTTTAAAAAAAACCTATTAAACACTGTGCCACTATGGAAAATAGAAGGAAATATCATCTGTAAACCTAGCTCCCCAGGCATAGCAGATTTAATTAGCTAGATTTAAGTCTAACATCTTCATTTCCTCATGTTCTACTTAAAAAGTAAGGTTGTACGTGTAATATATACATTGTATGCTATATATATGTATGCATACATACACATTTACCCTGAAATGACTTTGATGACAGGGCTTGTGTCTGTCTTGTTCACAGCTATGGAATAGTGACTGCATGTAGTATCATTTGATCATTCATTTATTTGTTTTGCAGTTTTCCCCTGATATACTCGAATCTTTTTCTCAAAATTCTTGGTTAAACATTATGTTAATAGATAATATATTTAACAAAAAAATATATTTTGTTGGGTCCTCAGTGAATTTGGGAAACATTGGTTAAAAGACAATGAGATACTTTTTTTTTTTTTTTTTGTGCAAACTGGTGGAGTTACTCTTGAAAACAGTATGGAGCTTCCTCAAAAAGTTAAAAATAGAACTACCCTATGATCCAGCAACTGCACTACTAGGTATTTACCTAAAGAATACAAAAATACTAATTCAAAGGAATATATGCACCCTGATGTTTATAGCACCATTACTTACAATAGCCAAATTATGGAAACAGCACAAATGTCCATCGGCTGACAAATGAATAAAAAAGATGTGGTAATATATATACAATGCAATATCATTCAGCCATAAAAAAAAAGAATGAAATCTTAACATTTGCAATGATGTGGATCGAGGCAGAGAGTATTCTGCTAAGTGAAATAAGTGAATCAGATTTATTATACCATACAGTTTCACTCATATGTGGAATTTAAGAAACCAAATGAATAGAAGGAAAAAAGAGAGACAAAGGGAAATCAAGAAACACGCTCTTAACTATAGAGAACCTACCACAGGGCAGGTTGGGGAGATAGGTTAAAATGGTGATGGGGATTAAAGAGTGCACTTGTGATGAACACTGAGTGATGTATGGAAGTGTTGAATCACTATATTGTACACCTGAAACTAATGTAAACTGGTATTTAAATAAAAAACACAGGCTAAAAAGTTATGAAAAAAAAAAAGAAACACTTTTTTTTTTTGCTGCCTAATGTGTATTGTGAATTTATAATACAAAGTTGACCCTTGAATAATGTGAGGGTTAGGAACACTGAGCTCCACACAGCTGATAATCCATGTATAACTTTGACTTTCTAAAACTTTACTAATAGACTACTGTTGATTGGAAGCCTTACTGATAAGATAGTCAATTAACATGTATTTTGTATGTTATATATATTACATACTGCATTCTTATAACAAAGCAAGCTAGAAAAACAATGTTATTAAGGAAATCATAAGGAAGAGAAAATACATATACAATACTGTATTGTATTTATTAAAAAAAATCTGTACATAAGTGGACCCACACAGTTCAAACCTTTGTTGCTCACGTGTCAGCTGTGCATCCTTTCAAAAACTTAATATTGACCATATAACTCTCTTTTTTTCTTTTCTTAGACCACCTGGGAAACTGGAATTCCACTGAGGTTGCTTTGGGAAACACTGGCCTAGAACTTAACCTTCTTCCAGAATGCCAATATTAGTTTTTCTGCTTCTCCTTTTGAACTTATCTTAAACTTCTGTCTGGTCACACGGAGTCTCCAAAATAACCAGATGGTATATGATTATTCATTAGTATTGTTGATTCTAAGTTGGATAGTACAGACTATTAAAACAAAACAAAGCCACAGACATTGTAAAAATAACCTCTACGCCTGATTTAAGGTAAAAACTAGTAAGTTAGAAGAACTGATTGAGAAGTAAAAATGAAAGTGATTGATTTTCTTATAAACATAAGAGAGTTTTATTTTTCCTAGGACATTTTTGTTTTTTTTAACCATAATCAACTATATCAACAAATTGTTCTCATTGCATAAGTGTGCTACCTAAAATCCAATTTTGGTACATATTATTCATGACCTGATGAGAATTCTGATTTCTTTTCTGTGGACATTATTGAATACCTGCACTTATTTTACATAGCTGTTATTTTATTTTATGTTATTTCCAAAGGGTCACATTATTTCACATTGTCCAAGTCCTGTTTCAAAGTTGAAAAGCATAGCATTTTTCCATTTCAAATGGATCACTGGAAATGCTAAACTGAGAAAAGTATGATCTTTCTCTGCATTAGAATGTTAGGAATCAGCACCATAGACAATGAGTAAAAGGGGTTTCTGAACATTGGCAACCTTTAAATCTTTAGAGCCAAGAATGCAGAATATAGAATTTACTTTATTGGTCTCAATAGAATGAAAAGAATAGATCTCAGTTTGTGGCAGCTAAATAATGAGTACATATATCTGGTGAATAGCTCATGTTTAACACTACTGAATGTAGCTCATATGAAGCAGTAGGTGGTTGAGGAGCATATATGTATTGTTTGGGATGAATATTTCTAAATTTCTTATAGCCCACAGAGTTCAGGTCTAAGATCATATTGGGCTTTTATTCAGCTACTTTTTCAAATATTTGAAGTGAGGAAAAGAAAATTGCAAAGGACAATGAAATCTATTTTTCTTTGAAAACTGAATTTTGATTTTTCAAAGTATAATAAAAGTTAAAAACATGACATTCATACAAGTATAGGCAGATGTCAGAAATCTATTAATTTATTAATGAGGGAACTTATGAGTGTGATGCTTTTGAAACCAAGAGTATTTTAATATTCATAGGCACATTTAGAGAAGAATATTCTATCATTGTTAGGTTAGATACAAAATTGGTTAAAGTTGCATAATGCAATAATACCATAAACATTTAAGTTATCTTTTCCTCTGGACAGGTTGGACAAAATGTACAACTTAACAGGAAACTCCAACATCTGAGGTCTAACCAATAGTGAACAGCAATGTCACACACAAGTACATTTTCCTAGAGAATTAAGCAGTCCTTGGGTGGACACATACAAAACAAAAGTCTCAATGTGATACTGAAATGTAATGCTCTTCCCCCCTTATTACCAAATTTTGGGTAATTTTTTTAATTAACCAAAAGTAAAACTTTGAGGGTTTGTTACTGTTATCAATTAATTCATCATGTGATATAGTTTGAACTAAAACATACCATCTCAGTTGCTTTTGGGAGTGTAGAGATTAAAAAGGGGGCTGGGGAATTTACTTAATTCAAAATCAAAATAAGAATCTTTCACAGATGACTGTTCATTTCATATCAAGGTCAAGCTGGCAGGAGAAAAGAACAATGGAAAGTGGGCAGGACAAATACTCCCCGGGGAATGAAGCAAGTGGTGGCCTGACATCTTTCCCTTCCCCCAACAGGGCTGCCTTTATTTAAAAAAGGAAGGCATTTGTGGATTCCATCTCTCGCCCTTTGTAAGGGTGCTTGGGAGTGGCGCTCAGAGGGCTACTCTGGGCGCAGCACACCCAACCCGTTGCACGCCCCCCGCCCCCCCGCCGAGCCGCCAGTACTGCCTGGAATAAATTCTCCACTCGCCCTGCGTGGGCTCATTTATAGCCCTGTAGTCCGAAGCTGGGCGCTTCCTCTCTGAGACTGAAATCAGTGCAGACAGAGCGGGTGTGATGCAGTGAGCCCTCCTTCAAATGCAGGGCAGTAAAAAGCAAGACACATACACACACACACACACACACACACACGCACGCACGCACGCAGAGCAAAAACAACAGCTATATCCTCTTCTCCATTGTCGTTCCCTCCAGACGGATAAATTTCTTCGAGCCTCCATCCCTAGAGGAGGTAGCTCTGTAACATTGGCAGGCGACGTTCCCCAGCGATTTCAGCACCTAGGCAGAAACGTCTGGGCTTTCCCACTGCCAGCCCCGGGGGTGCCTGGCACCCAGAGGCCTGGACTAACCGCGTGCGGGGCCGGCGAGGTTGGGGTCCGGTAACTCTTCAGGCGCTCCTTGCGGGGATCCTGGGGGCCTGGGGGCCCAGGGCCAGCCCCGCCACCGCGCCCCGCCCCGCTCTGTCCCCGCAGCCTCCCGGGCTGCCGGGCTTTGTGGTTCGCCCGTGCGGCTGGGCCCCAGCTGGGGGTGTCGTTACGAGCATGTGCAGACAGCAGCCCAAGGTAGAGCGAGCGTGCCGGGTGAGCCCGGAGACTTGCCTTGCAATGCCATGTTTGTGTGTGCGCCCTAACTCCCGGAGAGCAATCAGGGAGACGGCTCCCCGGCCGCACTTGGCTGATGTTTTCTTGTTTCTGTTTCAGCCTTCAGGATAATTCCTTCAGCAGCACCGCTGTAACAGAGTAAGTGATTCTTGCCATTAAAATAACACTTGCATGCCTTTCTCTGGAAGCAACTATCTTGAAGGTATCCTCCACCGTCCCCCGCAGCTCTTCGTATTAGATGCATTGTCTCCTGTAATCTGGGGCTCTGAAGACCGCAAGAGGTGCTGAGTGATGGGGCCCAGAAATCTTTACAGGTTGAAATCAGCCTTTTAGCAGCTACGGGGGAGACATCATTATAAGCTAACTGCTTGCAGTAGCTTGGTGCTCTAAGTTATGTTTTCTTGGAGCTCAAATTAAAAAAAGATGTATTTGACATGTCAGAAAGGAAGCTTTGTTTTATTTTGCCAACATTGGTGTCAGTTTTCATGGAACATGCCGTATATATTTACAACAAATAGGAGATAGATGTTAAATAACTTGGGTTGAATTCCAGCATGTGATAAACAGGCTAAACTTATTCTTACCCTCTCTTGTCTACAGATTTTTAAGACAGAGTAAACTTTTTTTGCATGCCCTTTGTCATTTTTTTGTCTTCTGACTTCAAAGATGTGGCTATAGGAGGAATAAATCATCTTGTCGTATGGCTAAACTGCTGACTGGGGCAACTAACATCATTTAAACATGGAATGAAGGAGTATAGTATTTTACTGAAGCCCAACTGTCATAGTATTTTTTATTAGATATAGTTCATGGTTTTAATTCTTGTCATCCATTCCTTAATGTGTTTTCCTAATACTATATATATATATATATATGTATGTGTGTGTGTGTGTCACAAATTAATAGGTAGTTGTTATACAAATATTATATGTAATTTGTATAAAATTTACATATATACATATAGATGAAAATATCTGTACTGCATTTAGCAGTCTTTCTAGGCTAACTCATGATGTTTACTTCTGGGACCTTTTGGTAGAAGTCACTCAGCAGCTGTTCAGGAAAAAGGGGTGTACAAGGCTGTATACTCACCTACGTTTAAAAAATTCTGCAAGTTTAATATAGAAAAGCCCAGCAACTGTTTATTAAAGCTTCCTAAAAGGCAAATAAATGTGGGAATAGATATAAGAATGTCTAGTTTTACCATGGTCATAATGAGTTGGTGATGGAGGGGTAAGATTCTATAGGGCTTCCCAAATCCCATGGTTTCCCACATTCTTTTGTTTTTGTGTTTGGATATGCTACTCTCTTAGTATCAAGCTTTGGGCTCACTTAACTGGAGTTACTTAAAAAATGACAATCCAGGGTTGACTTTAGAAGATGCCATATAAAATACTCACTGGGGCCAGCATCTGTTAATGAGATTGCTGCAACTTTGGTTTTCTAAAAGCCGGAGAGAGGAGGGAATGTGTGCTGAAATATGCAGGCCAAAGATAGGCTGTGACTTCCTCATTAAGGTTCACAGGTGGTGCTTTCCTCCCTTTGCTGTTCTTATAGGCACCAAGTGCTTTCTGTGCCTGATTCTTGGGAGCCCTGTGTGGCTGAATCCCCAGAGTCAGCCTTGGGCATTACGGCTTCAAAATGAGATACTCAGTTCCAGACTTCACATGGACCTTTTAAAAAAGATTTTACACTTAACTGTGGGGAAAGTCTGGTACTTTATCTTTGGATACTCCTCAAGGAGTTCTGATTGCATAAGATCCTGTTGTTTTCAGAGAAGTGACAGTGATTTATTTTCTAAGGTCCTGAGTGACAATTGGAATGCCATCTGGCTAATCTAAAAATCTAAGGAGTATATTTAAAACATACCAAATGCTTCATAGGTGTCACATAGCACAAAGTAGGGTCATTTAAAGCTGGTTATTGTCTAGTGTAACATTTTCTCCTCTCCTCGGGAAGATGAAACATTTTCCTTGACATTTCCTTCTTTGGCATTACCCCAAAACCACAGGACCAGAATCACTATCTTGAGACATAGATGTAGTAGGTGCTCAGTAAATATTTGGGTGTGGTCTTAACATAGACAGAGGAGGCACTGGCCTCCTTGTATGTTCCGTGTTCTGGATACATACAAACTTCCTTTCCTCCTGCCCCCATTCCCTCCTACTTCCTCCTACCCACACTCACGTTTATTTTCAGTGTCTGAAATTGCACCCAGGGATTGTTTCTTTTGTGTTAAGGCCTCTGGTGGTGACCCTTATTAAAATGGAAATTAAAAAGCCTGTGTCCCTGGGAAGCAGATTCAAGTTGTCATTAACACTTTAATATAATTTATGTTATCAGGTAGTCTAGCCTCATAGAGGTGAATTTGGCCTCTTGGGGGGTCTCTTAAGAGTCAAAGGGAAGGGAAATTGGGAGACAGATGAGGACAGATTTTATTCTCTTTTGGTTTTTCCCAGGTCTGGCACTGTCTGTGCAGTTCTGAACCAATTCAGTTTCTTTTTATACCCAAATTCTTCCAAGATCAGAGTGACCTTGGACTTCCCTTCTGTATCTGCAGGGTCCTTTTATCTATTTTTCCATGGTCATTTCCTATGTTGCTCTGGCTACGCTGCTATGTGAAATGAAGCCTGGCCAAGCAAATGAATTCTGCAATGAATTAGTTATCATCCGAAGCAGTGGTTCTCAAAACCACTGATGATCAAGAAACTGATCATTAGTATGAAATGGGGAAGGGGATTGAGGCTTGTACAAGGTTCAGTTTCCTAGGCGTTAATGCAAAGTGAGAACCTACAGTTGGCGATTATATTGGAGTCAGCCCAGTTACAAAAACTTAAAGATAAACCTTTAAGTCAGTGTTAAACTTTTTAGAAGCATACTAGTTATGTTTGTGTGTATTTGGGGAAGTAGTCTGGTTTGAAAATTCACATTCCTGGGCCTCATCCTCAGGGAGCTAGTGATCTAGTGACGCTGAGGTACAAGTGGGGCCCAAGTCTTTGCTTTTAATCAGGCTCCCAGGGAATGCTAATGCAAGTGGTTCTGGAGACACACTGAAAAATCCCATAGGAATTCAGGCTGCACCTCTGCATCTTTGCTCTCGGGGAACACAGGACTAGTGGGTGAATAGGAATCTACTTCCTGGCACAACCACATTTTATCTAACAACCCATCTGAGGCTTTTCTTCTCATTTACTCCAAATTAATAAAGAGAGCTTCTCATAGGCATTTCTTTCCCCACCATTATTCTAAGAAACAAGTCATTCTCCTCCTTTTGTGAGCCTCTGGAATATAAACTAAAGAGACTATTTGGTAGGCTCAGTATGGTGGAGCAGAAATGCCACAGGGGCTATACCTTCCACCTTAGACTCTGGGCAATTCCTTCACCTCTGGTATGAAGGTGGCCCCTACCTCATTGCACTGGCAGGCTTAACTGAGATGCTATGAAAGAGAAGGTAAGCGGTGAAGGTAATGTCCCATATAAGGTTTTCTTGTTTGTGATTGATAGAGGGAATAAAACTCCAAATAAGGAAAAGGGTAACAACCCTGAGCATTTCACAAAGAAGTTATTGCAAGGACAAATTATCCATATGTTGTCTGGGTAACAACAAATCAAGAACCCTGGGACTTAGACCCCCCAGTTGATGAGAACTTCAAAGGAAGTCATTTAATAGGGGTGCTGTTCACATTTTTTTTTTACTACAAACAATAGTAAGAAAAACATTTTATTATTTTATTTTATTTTAAAGAGAGAGAGAGAGAATGAGCAGGGGAGGGGCAGAGGGAGAGGGAGAGAAAGAATCTTATTCTCTGTATTATGTATATTATGACTGTGAGATCATGACATGAGCCAAAATCATGAATCTGGATGCTAAGCCATCTAGGCACCCCAAAAACACATTTTATAATGCAATCCAGCACACACATACATACATGATTGATTTAAATAAGTTCTGTGAAATACACTTATCCCTTATGATACTGATATTTTCTATTCTACTTCTCTAACAACAATAACAGCATGCTGGTAGCTGCTGTCTAATTTTAAGACATACTAATAGGTCACAGTTTACATTTTGAAAAGCATTGGACTCAGAGATACCCAGTTTTGAATATTTAAGGAGATCATTAAAGAGATTGGATTTAAATTCCCCTATTGGGGTTATACTATAGGAAGAGAATGCCAAGCCCAAGACTAGTAGGACACTTTGTCTGAGCTGATATTCTTCCAGGACTGGGGATATCTGGATATGGGTTCCCACTGGAGAATCCAGTTTTACAATTGTTTCAACATTGTACAGTGGGCTTCTGTGTAAGGAATTAGCAGAAGAGTCACAAAGGAGATGTTAATTCAACAAAACTTAATGGTCTTCATCAAAACAAATGTAAAATCCAACTGAACTAAACAAAGCTTGTATATGTGTTGTGTGTAAGCCAGTACACAGATCTATTTCATTGCTGTATCTGTGACCTAGGAATTGTGTTTCCTTGACGGGCTACTGAAATCATTCAATAGGCCTTAAAATTCAATCAGCTAATCAGGGTCTGGCCTTATACTTAAGAGAGCATGTGTACCTTTCTATGTTCTGGTGCCGTGTTTCCATTTTCACCTAATTGTACTTTGACAAAAAAGGTTAATAAACTAAGTGGGGGAGGGGGGAATAAGTTCTTGCCAAGTTCCCAAACAATAGCTATTGTTGAGCCCTAGGGTTGAACCTCTGATTGAACCCTAGTTCTTTGGAAGCAAGAATTCTAGATTTCTATTCTTTAATGATTTTTCTACTTTGTGAGATTACTTTTATTGGGAAACATTTTCATTCACATTACAAACTTTAGATGATCTATTAAAGTGAATGCCTTAATGGAGGAGAACAAGACAGTACTTATGAATTCAATTGTTGCTTACATAAGATGGACAGGGTGGCTTACTGACAGTCAAAAACATGAGAAAGCAAGAAAATTTAATTATTTTGTTAAGAAGAGCACTGTATTAAGTAGACAGATTTTTTTTTAACTGCCAGTGGGGATAGAATATTTCAGCAGGCCAAAAGAGTTAGAATCTAGGTGGCCTTTGTTTTAATTCATTAAAAAAACCATAATTTAAAAGAGACAGTGAGGGAAGAGGACTGTAGCTTTCATCAATTTGTTTTGTGGATAAGTTATATACCATTGAAAGCAAGGAATATTTAAAATTATAAATGATTTCATATAGCATGAATATTATTATTATATTATGGTGATATTATATATGTAGGTATTTATTTATTTTTGTCTATTCATTATACTTTGAATCTCTCAGAGCAGGGTCCAGGTGTTTTTCAACTTTGTGTCCTTTAGAAGTAGTGCTACTGAAAGTATGGGCCTCCAAATTGTTTGTAGCTTGTCTGAGACAAGGAAAGTACAGAAATAAGGAGTAAGCATTTAATAACTTTTAGGGGAATTTGGCATCCCTGTGGCATTTTTACCAAACTGCCATAGTGGATTGGAAATAGAAAACAAACTGGTCAGTCCTGAATCCCAAGAAGTTTGAGAAACACAGCTCCAATGCCTAATGAGTACCTGAAAGGCAGCAAATGTTCCATAAATGCTTGTTAAATTATTTCCAGTCTTGCTGAGGGGCCAGAATTAATGATTCCATTCAAGCATTTATTGGATGCTCACTCTGGGGTAGCACTGTGGGCACTGTGGGAGTTTATCTAGAAAAAAAATATCACTTCTTCTCAAGGAGTTAATAACTAATTCAAAAGATCTCAGAGGTATGAAGGCATTACATAGCAGTATGAGGCAAGATACAGTTGGTTACCCAAATCTCAGAATGAAGAGTAAACATTTATGTACCACAGTTAAAGTAGGTATGTGAGCCGTGGGTGAACTTGGTTCATGGAGCTTGTGATACTTCACTTGGGCAAGTGAAGGATGAGTAGGAGCTGGAGGTGGAAAAACCATTCCAGGCTGGAGTGGGGTGGGAATGACTGAGAACAGGAACAAAAGCTCCCTCCTACACTAGAGTGAGAGAATGGTCTTGCTCTAGATTCCCTCAGGCTGTGTGGAACACAGGAGACTTTTCATTTAGAAGAACCATGAATTTTTTACAGGGTTATTCCAGACGTTTTGTGATGAGGAAGGGGATTGAGAAAGTCTGGAGGCCAATGGAGGAAGCCAAATGGGAGCTGGTGTGGTTTAGGACAGTCTGAGGCAGAGGAAATTTCAAGAGACACAAGTGGAGTCTCCTTTGAGCCAAGAATAATTTACCAATTTTTGTGTTAAATGTCCCCTCAAGTGCTTTGAATACTTTGGTCCTTGCCAAGATCTTATTAGTTTAGGTGATTCAGAGCAGTGGATCATAAAGGAATGTTACCTCTATTTCTGAGATAACATGATCACATGACATGACATCGGTGTCATTACCTGGTGCACATGCTGGGAATTGGAGCTAGTTTGAGAGAGAGAGTGGTGAGGGTTGTTCTGTTTTTTAATTTACTGTGCTAAACTAAGATAATTTTAGATTCTTTTTCTTCTGCTGCTACAGACTCTTGGATTTGATGTGGCTTTGTTTCTTCTCTCCAGGTGTGACGAAGACACAATCTCCCTACATGAAGATCAGACTGATTGCTCCAGTCTCAGGTATGACCCACTATTGCTTGGTTCTTAATTATGGACAGAAATCATCTGGGTCTGGGTTCCATTGTCTCCTTTTTGAATTACAATCACTTGTTCTTGTGTCTATGATTTTCTAATAAACTATCAATTCTTTTTTTAAGGAATTTTTAAAAAATATTTTTATTTATTTCTAGGAGAGAGAGAGAGAGAGCGTGAGCAGGGGAGGGTCAGAGAGAGAGGGAGATACAGACTCTGCAATAGGCTCCAGGCTCTGAGCTGGCAGTCAGCACAGAGCCTGATGCGGGGCTCAAACCCACGAACCGCGAGATCATGACCTAAGCGAAAGTCGGAAGCTTAACCGACTAAGCCACCCAGGTGTCCCTAAACTATCAATTCTTAAAGGAAGTTTTGTCTTGTCCAGTTTTAGATACTTAGTACCAAGGCAGTGGTACTGCACTGAAAAGCAGTGCCTTTCATATGGGGAATGCTTGATAAATGCTTTCTGAATTAAATATTGATTATACTATCTCAAGGTTCCCATCAGAGAGCCTGTGGAAGGGATTACAGATTTATTCACCAAACATGTCATCGAGTGTTTGGAATATGGTCTTGGTCATCAAGGGTTCATGGTATGGCAAAACCTTCACAGTTAACTTTCTTACATATTTGCTTTGTTCAGAGCACTTTCATGTACATTTTATTATTTAATCCAAACAACTGAAAGGAGGCTGATGTTTCTCTCCTTATTCCATAGGTAGGGAAACTGAGGCTCAGAGGGATTATAGCTCATCCAAGCCAACATAGCTACTAGGAAGCAGAATTTGGACTCAGGTCTCTCTGACTCTCAAGTCCATTTGTTGGATAACAAATAATTGTTGAAGACCTATTTTTTGTGCCAGAAACTGGTCAATATAGATAATGATGCTGCAGTGCATTAAGTGCTATTTTACTATCTGTGGACAGAGGATTCGTTTAGAAGGACCAAGTAGCCCAGAGAAGTTTCTGGGATGGATTCTTTCAGAAAATTATAATAGTACATGATGTGTGTGTGTGTGTGTGTGTGTGTGTGTGTGTAATATAAGGCCAAGCAAAAGATGATGCAACCAAGCAGAGGGAGCAACTTACTGGAAGGCCAACGGAGGGTACAGAAAATAGACTTGGGAATAGCAGGCAGTTCAGGATGGCAGGAGTCTTGAGAACCTGTGGGAGTGAGGAGGCCAGGAGTGGTAAGAACTGAAGCTCCAGAGATAGACAAAGATGGATTTCAAAGGGTCTGTGTGCCTTGCTAAGGAGTTTGGAATTTATCCTGGAGGTATTGGGGAGACTAAAAAGAGCTCTCAGTTTTTTCTCTGCAAATTACCACTTGGCTAAAGCCCTGTGAGCATAACAATAGCTCCCATTTATTAGGCTGTGGCCTTGAGCCAGCTTCCTATGGCAGGCATTTCATAGGGACTGTCTTATCTTATTGAAAGGTAGAGAGACATCCATCTCAGGACGAGGGCCATAGAGGTGACATGCTGTGGACCAGGTGACACAATTAATATGTGGAAGGACCTTTCAGACTCTTATTCTTTTCAGAACACCACACTCATTCTCAGTTATGAATGATTCCTATAAGTAGTGGCATAAGTTATGCAACTTGTACTTTCCTGTTTTGGAGATTCTGAGGAACCATTAACAGGTTAGAAATACATTTCTAAAGATTACTTTTGTTTTAGGTTTTAAGTTTGTGTAATGAGAAAAAGATGCTTTTAGCTCCCCCTGCCCACGTTCTTTGTTTTTCAAGTCAAGGAGGTGAACAAGATGACATTTATAAATTGAGGGCACCTTGAAAATATGTAAAAATAAAGTCCAGGTATTATTTTAGGAATAAGTCTATCAAAAGAGTCATTTTAGATTTGAAAACTGACTTTTCCCCTATTATTCTTGAATTTTCTAGAATCTTCCTTGAATGAGGACCCATTTAGGTTTAATGTAAAGACAGCTGTTCTTTTCCTTTCTCACCAGGGAACACAGAATGTGTGAATGAACATCCTTTGTCTCCAGTGGTAGAAATTTCAAATGAATCAGTATAGTTCCAACTCATAATTTCATATTGGTTTCCAAATCCATTAGTGAGTTAGAATTTTTTAAATTGTAGCCGATCTTAAGGGGAAATATTAACCAGTGTCACTGACATTGACTTGTTAATTATTTTTTCAGTTACTAATATTGAAAAATTATTTCACTTGTTGGGGTCTCCTTTACCAGGCATTATGAAGTTTGCTCTGAGGCAAACATAGTCTTATTTCCACACCTTGTCCAACCATACCTGATTATGCTACAGACTTCCTATGCTGATGTTTGTTTTGATCTTTTCCCAGAGGCTAACTGGAGTTCATCCTTTTGATATCAGTTATGTGAATTTAATTTCTGTTTTACTTGTGAAAAGGCATGTTGAAGAGTGGGCTTAGAAATCCTTTCTTTGCTGGTCTTGTTTCTTAGCTTTATGTATCCTTGAACCATGAGGAATTGCTTCCTAGCTGACCTTGTCAAAATATCTTTTATGGGTGCTCCAATCAGGGAAAAACAGCAGGTGGGAAAACCAGCACCTGGGGAAAGTGGCCACTCCTAGAGAATTGCATGATCTAGTACCAAATGATTACTTGTGGATTAAGGTTGAGGATACTGATTGTATAAAGTGATTTATAGATTTAAGAGGGATTAATAACTTCAAATAAAAGTGTTATGTCACTACTTTGGAGGAAATTGAAACAGTGGAGTAATATTGTATGAATTTGCTTGCTTAGTGAAAATTAAAAGTGCCATTTGGCACTAAATGTATGCAGGTAACACCAGCCCATTCAGTCACCTCTAGCAATTCCTCACGGATGAAAGCCAGACAATGGGATTTTCGAGTGTGCACTGAGGGTATTGTTCAGATTGTTTGCTTGGGTAAAATTTGGCACTTGTTTTGTATTTTATCCAAGTAGCATGTTTCTTATCAAAGTGGACCCTGTTAAACTTCTGGAGGTCTTTGAAAACTGTAGAGAGTTGATTATAAACATGCCAGGGAAGAGGAAGTATCATGCCTTGAAACAAAGACATATATGCAAGAGAGACTGAAGACCTACCTACTACTCCAGGTCTGGGTGAATTAGCCCTTCTATTAAGCACTTCATTTAATCTCTGCATTAAAGAGTATTACTCTATAAAACTGGGATGATGATCTCTAACCTGAATCTCACATTATTATTGTGAGAGAAAAGAATATATACATGAAAGCATCTTGAGGTGGAAAATTAAAAACAGAAGTGATAGTATGCACAAAGTTAGAACTACCAAAGAAAATATATGTATCCACTAGCAAAGATTAGAAGGGAATATGGAGTGATCTTATGAGTAAAATTCACATTTCTTTGGTTCTCGTTCCTGTGAAACTAAGTCTACTCTAAACATTTTGCTAGCTACCATATAAATAGAGCAGCAATGAGTGTGCCAGCCTCACTTTCCCGCAGCAGTTTAATACTTTTTTGGGTGCTTTCTAAATTGAGTCTTTCCTGTTTTAGAGATGAAGACAATAAAGAAAATTACCCTGACGCCGGGGCTCTCCTAGAGGAGCCCACACTGCCCTCTCGGGAGCCGCAGCAGCATGTAGAGCAGACCTTGCTGGTGGACGGCGTGCTGCGACCCAGCATGGGCAACTTCAAGTCCCGGAAGCCTAAGACCCTGCTCAAGGCAGAGAGCGGAAGGAGCCACGGAGAGAGTCAGGTAGTGAGCTGTACTTCCAGGCCTTTGCCAAGTGGGTGCTCTTCCTGCGAGGGCATCGCTTTGGCAGGCTGTGTGAGCACCTTATTTTGCAGGAGGTGATGAGGCATCTTGAAGTGTCAGTGTCAAAGCACCCAGAACAGTTCTCTGAGCTGGCTGATAGTTTAGTGCCCTTTCAAACTGATACTCTTGAATACGGGGCTTTGACATAGGTTCAAAGGAGCTGCTGCAATCTTTGCAGGGTAGAGTGGAGGAGGGTCTCCAATTATCTTCACTTATCCAGTTCATGTAGCTCTTGCCCCAAATTTGGAGAGTCTTCTCAACAAAAGTCCCAAGTTTACTCGAAGCCATTCACCTTAGGCTGCAATTTAGTAGCCTTGGATAAATAGTCAAGTGTGTATGCATGTGCCATGTGCCCGTTTGTATGTGTGTACTGTAGGTGGTTCTTTGAGGTCAATAGGTGTTTAAATGAATGAACGACGCATTTTTTGCAACTTGATTTGGGTAATAAACTTACATTTTCTATTTTTTTCAAATTTTCTCTAATTGTAGAGGGATGTAGCAAAGAATGTGATGTTTTTAAATCTTAAAAACTCCACAAATGATTTATGATGCTTTTAACAAAAAGATTAAATGAATATAATCTACTTTAATCTTACTAGGAAGTTAATGAGATTATACTTGTAATGCACCTAAGATAGTTTTGGGGACACAGGTCCTTCATTAATATTAACTTTGCTTTTTTGTTAACATCTAAATCTTTAAAATAAAGTGGGAGGTTCTACATGTAATAGTTTAATTATATAATAATTTTAAGTCTTGTCCTATATAGCAAATGGGCACCAGGTGATCTTCCTATTAGAACAACTTTGGCTGAACACTTTATTTGGTCTTGTTATTTTCCTATTTGTCTTGTGATTTTTATCTAATTTCTTCCTTGACATTAAGACATCTTAATTCGACAGTTAATTTTGCAATAAAATGAAAATACCCTCTGCATTCATAAAGGTGTGTTGTAATTATTTTAACCTGAGTTGACTTTTATAGAGAAGTGAGGTGAAAATACTATATGAGTTATCATAAACTTGAGCCCCTACCTATTACTGAAGGCACCTGTGCTTAATCTGATTAGGAGTGTGGTGTTGGGGAGGATACAGGTACCCAAAAGACTGCCTGCAGAATCTGATGGGTTTCAGGGAGGCTCTGATCTTGAATCTCCTACCACTGGTCACTTGTGACACTTGAGCTTGAGGTGACCAGTCATTTCTGCTAGAGTCCCCTCTTTCTTATCATCTTTAACCTGGCTCACAGAAATTACATAGCTGACACTTGTAATAAGGTGCTAATGGGGCATGCAATTCCAACCCATTGCTCATACACAGGAAAATTTCTGGAGATATGCTTGTATTGTCTTTGCTGATAGTACAACAGTGGAGACCTGGAGTGCAGGTAGAATTTCCAGTTCATTCCTAACATCTCTACTTACACAAGGAGAACCCCCCCTCCAGTGACTAAGAGAACTGTTATAATATTAGATCGTTCATATTTGGGAGAAATTTGAAACACATTTCATTCTTCCTATATTCTTTGGGGACGGAGAATTTACACTGGTTGAGTATTGAGCAAAAACTGAATCTATAAATAATATTATTAATTAAATCAGCTAACATGTATTTCAGCATTTACTGTGTTCCAGGCATGTACCATATTTTACCACAATCCCATGGAATGGGTATTATTATATTTTTTTGTAAAGGAAAATCTAAGGATTAGAGGGATTACCTAATGTCTCTAAACAGATTTGGAAGAACTTGAGTGGAAGGTCTTTTCCATAAAAGCACAATGTTGCTAGTAAGACGTACACAGATCTTCCCAGATCTAGTGATTTACCTGATCTCTTATACAACTCACACCTTAATTTTTATATAAAACCTGTGATTTGACTCTGGAACTTTTTTTTTTTTTTGCTGATATGTTGTGCTGTGAATCAGTAATTACTTATTTAGAAAAGATTACTTTGGGGAGAATTTTCTTTTCTGCCTTAAAGCTTTGTAATATTGGTCACTGAAGCTAGATAAATATTGTTTGAGTGAATGTTAGCTCCATAGGATGCAAGTTTCTTAAGGTCAGTGATTCAGTCACTGTCTATCTTTGGATCTGTAGCATTCAGTAGTCACTCAGTATTATTTGTTGAATGGTTCAGAACTGGTAAGAGAGATATACATGATTGTATCATCTTTTCTTGTGAAATGTAAGTGTGTTCTTAATCAGTTGTGAAAGTTACCTTTTAAAAGAGAATATAATCATGACGCTTCTACAGCTATGATATAAAGTATTTCAAATATTTTACTTAAATTATTAATTAATAAGGGAATCAATAAGGTATAACAACTGGTTCAAATGAGAATGCCAAGTATCACAAATTTGTAGTCTGACAAGGAATATAGAAATATATTTACAAATGGACACAAAATTGGCAAAAGTTGTAATTTTCATTGGGTGGTAATCAATTACTTTCCCTTGGAGTCTAAAAATTATTTGTATTATGATCAATATCTACAATTCACTTCTATGGCAATAGCCTTGTAAAGTAGCCTATTCATAGACAGACAAAAGCAAAGATTATCCAGATGGATGATCTAGCCAAGATATCTACTAAATTTCTAAGTCATTTATAATTTTTCCTTACATTCTCCTCCTCCCCCTTATGATCATAATAATCTCAAAGAAAGATTATCTTAATCACAAAATAAGGCTAGTTTCATTAGGTTTGGCCTGAATAATTACATAGGCATAGCAAGAGTGTTAGTTTACCATATAGGTCTTATTAAGTATGCTTTGCAAAATCTAAAGCCATTCACTACTGAATAATTACAAAATAAACTTTTCTCTGGGAATTTTCATGAATGCCTCTATTTACAATCCCAAGGCAAGGAAGCCAAGTTCAAGAAACTCTGTCCACTACATTACTGCAGTACCTATGCGCTTGGATAAATTCCTCTCTTCTTGAGGTCCCCAAATAACACAAGGTTCCTACCTTGCCAAGAAGTGACCATCTTTATCACCTGTAAGGTTGGACCCTGTAAGCCATATAGCAGGCCAGTTATCCTAGGAGGACTCTGTAGGCATAGGCTTCATAAGTAAAATCACATTCATTCCTTAAAAGTGGCCTTTTCCCCCAATTCAGTGAAAATCATTCTTAAGATGACATTCCAGGCAAGATGTTAGTTGCATAACAGATTTTTTTTTTCAATTATATTCAGGTTAAAAGGATGACAGATTATTATTAAATATATGAAATAACCCTATTGCAATTGAAAGTAAGGATACAGAGTGAGTTTCTGGACTCTGGGGTCAGTGAGACTTAGATATCATTTTTAAATATTTTATTTCAATTTACATAATAGAATGGTTTTAAAATATAGTTTTTATTTATTATTATTCAGGTATGGTGAGGCTGATAGATGAAGAGATGACTGCCATTTGAAAAGATTACTACTCTTAGTTCTTAAGAGGAGAGGATGCATGCTATGCCATGCAGGGCTACAGAAGTAAGGCATCAGTGTTAGGAAGTAGAAGGGTAGGTGGAAAGTAAGGCAGAAGCCTTTATGTAGTTTTCATGGGAAAGGCAAGGTGAGGTTGGATATAGCAGTCTTAGTATTGACTAGTTTGAATCATTTCAGTAGAGTGTGAGGTAAAGGGGCTCTCTAGTACCTGGTTGAGATGATTAGGGCAGAGGAATATTGCCTTCTGGAGTATGTGAGCCAGGCAGAAGAGTTGGTTCCAAGTATGGACTCATTGGATTGGCTAGTTTGTATGTGAAAGGTTTGTTCTTGGGCAAGTCATTTAATATATTCTAAAAATTGGCTAGCCCTGGAAGAGGCATTTATTTCCCAATCAGTGAGGTTTTAGAAGCCAGTACATCAAAAATACAGAAAATAGTAAAATATGGTTAATAAAACAATCTACTAAATTGTGAGGTGAAGTAGAGAAAGGACTTTCATTTAGATCCAGTAAATAGAACATTAAGATAACAGTATTGCAGGACACCTGGGTGACTCCATCAGCAGAGTGTCTGACTTCAGCTCAGGTCATGATCTCATGGTTCATGAGTTTGAACCCCACATCTGGCTCACTACTGTCAGCACAGAGCCTGCTTCAGATCCTCTGTCTCCCTCTCTCTCTGTCCCTCCCAGGCTCATACTCTTTCTCAAAAATGGATGAACATTAAAAAAAAGATAACGATATTCCCAAAGTAACTTCAATAAAATTTCCCTTATCAGTCCATTCAGTTTTATGTAATTAATTTTTGTTCTTATTGATCTTGAATTAGCAGTAGCATAAAGCTGTCAGTTCCTTTTCTTTTTTTTTAATGTTTTATTTATTTCTGAGAGAGAGAGAGAGAGAGAGCGTGAGCAGGGGAGGGTCAGAGAGAGAGGGAGTCACAGAATCTGATACAGGCTCCAGGCTCTGAGCTGGCAGTCAGCACAGAGCCCAATGCGGGGCTCTAACCCACGAATGGTGAGATCATGACCTGAGCCAAAGTCAGACGCTTAACTGACTGAGCCACCCAGGCACCCCTAAAGCTGTCAGTTGTTCTGGCATCAGATTCCTGTACCCAAGAACCTGTTCCGGAAAATGTCAACTGTTTGAAGCATCTGGTCCTTTACCGTGGGAGTATTGAGAGTATTCTTTGCTGAAGACACAAACTGTGGGTTGATGCTGATAGCAGAGGCTATATGCTTCTACTATATCTGAAGTATATGAAGAAAACAAACATATATGGATAACTGAAACTGAAAATAGTTGTGATTATTTTACTATGAATCACTTTCAAATGTGAAAAGTCTGATGAGAGCTCATAATAAGAATAATGAACAGATGTGACATACAAAACAAGATAATAAAATGATTGTCCCCAGATTAGACAAAATGTTTCAAAGTATAACAGATAAGTCTATTTTTAAAGAAGTCAGGGAGTGTTTACTTATGATGTTATAAAA